TCATCACGCACACTCACATATAATTTCGAAAAAAACACCTAATACTCTTTCTCCTCTAATATACCAATATTTTATATGATTTTAAATGACAGTATTCACCATAGATAAACATTGCCTTGAACACAAGGTGTTCAACTGCAAAATACATAATCATTACACTTTACAGTACATCCTGTGAACCCTTTTAAGACGCATTCCCGATATGAAAGCAGCTATATCTATTGTTGTTATTACTATTATAATGCCCTGGAATTGAGCTTTCACCTGCCCTGCACCCATACTGCACCAAATATCTCTTCACAAAAAAAATTCTTGATTTATTGTACAGGTTAAAACATTTTTATTGTATAGGTATAAAAGCTATGGAAATAGGCAGATGAGTATACTTGGGCGATGTGTCCTTAATAATCCAAATATATCAGAGTAGAACACAACAGTAAATGGACCAATAAGTTAAACGTTTAGATATTTACCGGACAAAGTTTATTTTGTAAGTAAGCTCACCTGATCAGAATCCAGCTGAGCTTTGCCCCTCAATGCTTTAACAAAGGTCTTGAATCGGGGTCTTTTCAAGCGCTTTGCACCACTGCAAGTAAATCCTTGTAAAACGGAGCCTGAAACGCTGATGAGGAAAATAAAAGCATTAGCCTTGGGAATCAATATATTCTACCTTTATATTTGTCTTGTTGTTAGACTCCGCCACTGAGAAGCGCTCTGGGACGCTATCCCACCACGGCCTGAGTGGTGCTGTATAAATGCAAGTAGTTGTTACTGTTAGAAAATATACGCCCTTAAAGCTGCAATAATACGGGTTATAAAACTGTATATAACATTCTGATCTTTTACATTTGCAGATCAATTGTGCAATTTATTTATCCCACTTCTAAAAATCAATTCTGTTTTATCATTGCCATCATTGTGAATCCTCTGCTTGGTCTATCCCTCCATGGTGGGTGGGTGATCTTTCTGACTCTGTTCTCTGAAGCTCCATCGCAGAATCTCTCTGCCTCACACCTTCCCTCTCCACCTTCAAAACCCACCTCAAGACCCATCTTTTTGACCGCAATTTTGTTCTCCTTCCTCCCCTCGTTCTCCTCAGCTCCACCCCCGGTTTACAGCCATCTGCCTGAAGCACTTTGAGATGTGGTCCCCATGCAAAGGGCGCTAAATAAATGTTGGTGAATTGACCATTAAACTGAAAGCAAGACGGATCTTGTTAATTATTTTGCAGTGCACTGACACTGCTGGGCGTAATTGGCTGCTGGGTTTTCGCCCACAAATACATAGTCACTACACGTTACAATATATTTCTGTGAAGCGCTTTGAGACGTCTCAATGGCGTGATATGGCGCTGTATCAAAAGCAAGGATTATTATAATTATTGGAAAATGAATACTTACTCATCAAAGTTTATAGTGGCATCATTTGCAAAATTCGGGAAGAACATAGCAGCCTAAGAGATTAAAAAAAACATTTATAAGCAAAGATAAAGTGATAAGTAATTATACCATTTCAATTTTATGAGGATCACAACTATTCATTTAATTATTATTATTATTATATTGACTTAACTGATGGATAAGATGGGCATTACTCAAACTGGGAAAGCTACGTTACAGCTATGAAGAATATTAATGTGTTAAAGCTTTAGGCAGTGCATAAAGTCGAAAAATGTTCCTTTCTTCAGGAATAACACCGCTCATTCACATCATTACAACACGTACCCCAAAGAAAACTTTATAAAAACTCAAGTATGCCAGTCATCAAATAATCCAAATCACTTACTTGATTGGGTTTCCATATTTTCTTGTTCACCTGACTTAGGACAATATTCTTGGAAGTCAGTAAACGCAGAGGTATTTTGTCTGCGAGAGAGGCTGGAACCAGCTGTAATGCTGCCACAGAATTACTTGAAGATTGGAAAATCTGAAAGATGTGTCACATACATTTTTACTATATTAAACAAACCTAAAACCTAGTACTACATTTTAAAATATTGAATTCTCTTAAGTCTTTCTGAAGCCAAGGGACTGGAGCAATGTGGAATGCATAGGTGTTCACTAGCCAACAAAACACATATCTTTCATCTCATTGACGCTCGTGAGAACTGTCTCTATACTACTCCAGTAACTCAATCTGTAGAACATGTTGAGATGATTCAATCCAAAATAGGGCTATCATTTCAAATACAAGAGTTATTTATTATACAAGTAAATTTGTTGATGACTTGCCTTTTGGACAACTGATCTTTGCACAGAACCTGAAGCATGTTTTATATTGTTTACAAAGATTGTGCTTTTAACAGCACTGACAATCACGCTGCTATCCAAGGATTGGACTGTTTTACTTGACAGACCAGACACCAAGCTTCCCATTTTCAAAATATTGGCAGCATTGTTAACCTGGTAAATATAAAATAAAACAAGGTTAGATCCCATCCTAACCCCATCCTAACCATGCATACTGATGCCCTCTCTCAAAACAGAACCTAATATGGAAGCGTTGTATAGGTTAATACTCCACTACAGGACATCCTCTTGGCCTGAATAACTTTTTTAAAAAAAAAGTAATTCTTGACGAATGATTAATCACCCAAATAAAATTGGTCAATTCCTTCATGGTTGTTTGTGGGACATTGCTGTGTGCAAATCGGCTGTTGCGAGTACACCCACATTATATACGGATTATCCTGGGAGAAGTCCTCCTCATGATAAAGAGCTAGAACAAATATAAGGATCACTACTAACAATAATTCTCATTACAATCCCTGTTTGTTTGAAAAAGGTCATCTCCATCAACCCGCAACCCCCCCCCACCCCAACCACCTCTCTGACCCCAACCGCAGCTCAGACACAAACCCCAAATTGTCCAGTGCCTTCGGACACCCTCCCACGGTGAAAGGCACTATAATAAATGCAATCTTTTGTTATTGTTATTTGTGTCAGATTAAATGATACAGCAAGTAATGAATCCTTGAGGACTTGTCGAGCCAATCTGCAGTACGCCATCATCTTATTTGACCACCGTAATAGGAACAATCTGGCAAATTTCATACTTCCCTGTGTTAAAATGAATTAAAAGTACAACATATATCGATTGTTAGTCAGTGCTATTAATCCCATTACAATGAGGTACAGTGATTGTCAATATATTCTGTTACTTATTATGGATGGATGAAAAAAAAGTTTTCATTGAATTTATGTAATCCTTACCTGAAAGTTGGTACCAAACAACTTGCTAATAAGTGCTTTGGCCTGGCCTGTATTCCAGAAGCTGACTTTGCCCAGACTATCCAGGGATTTTAAAACATCGTTCTTATTGATGCTTTCAATCTGTGTCGTTGTCAGTCCAACTGCCGATTGTCCCAAATTAACAAGAGTGGCAGATGAGAAGTTGTCAATTTTATTCACAAGAGAAATTGCAAGCTGCAAAAGAATATAGCCATAAATCAAGCTTTTGTTAAGTTTTTTTTAGAAGGAATCACAATCACTAAACAACATAACTTGTTTTTCTATTAGCATGTTATACAACTTGAACTGACTTACACCATAAGGAAAATAATCTTGAAATGATTGCACCACGAAAAGTTTCAGCCACAAACATTCATCAGTTCACTTTTTTTTAAAGACTTATTTATTCCCACAAATGTTGAATTCTTTGCAAACCAAAGCGTGAGTAGGGGAAGATTAGACTTCCAGTCTTAACAGATATTTTTCTTGTTGAGACAAAGGAAAATCTACTTCTCAGTTAGACTTCTCATGAAATAAATAAGGTAAAGTAAAGGTAAGGTAAAAGTCTATCTAATGTTATGTTATGAGTCAGCCCATCTGACAAAGAACATAATCGCATGTAAAATAATCCATCTAGACTTCCCTTAGACACTGACCAGCATTGAGGCCCAGAGCACAGGTTTAGGAGGGTTTGATGGGAGTTAATCATCTGTATATAAAATGGGAGCTTTTATCAGGTAATAAATCATATTTTGATAAAAAAAATAGTGGCAGTAGTTGGAGGTCAGTTCAAGTCCTCAGTTTTGGGAGAGTTTGACAATTAGTCCTAATGAACAGAACTAATTTGTTAAAACGCCATCAATTTGTTCACAACTTCTAGACCATAAATAGCAGCATTAAAATAATCCAACACTTATCCTTTTTCAAATAACCTCCTAATTTTACCTGCATTTCCTCATCTGTTGGCTCTGTAGATGCAGTTACATTTGTGGTAGAAGCCTGACAGACTTGGTTGGTTCTGTTAATTATCTCTAAGGTCTGTTGAGCATTTAAAGACTCAAGTGCTGGGGTACCAGAAGCAAAACAAATCATGCTATCGGGAATTCTGCATAAAAAAATATCCATTAGATGGAACAAGTCAGCATAACACAAGGTATATTGCAGAAAAAAACAAATCATACATAGAATACACTACACCATGTCCTTTTTATTTAATTCTTAAATGAAAAAAATATAACTTGTGAAATTCCCAGCAAAGTTGTAATTGTGCTGAAAATAAATAAGAGTTACAAGAAAATTTATGTTTACATAAGTGCCTTTCACATTGCGAGGATGTCTCAAAGTGCTTTAATTTTTAAGTTAATATTTTATTTTGTTGATTGATTTATTCTGTACATTCACACTTATACAAATATCACTTGTCAACTCTTATCCAAACAGCAGAGTAAATGTACCTTGTGAAATTGACATTTGTATTTTTGAAGAGCGCGATGGCATAAAACTCTTGGATATCTTTTGAAAGAGCAAGGCTGCTCACAAGGTTCAAGTTGGCTGGGTCAACTGTAAATTTCTGAAGCTGCAAAAATAAATGTGAACAATCAGTGAAAATATAACAGAAAGTTACACAAAGGAACAATAAATACTACATGAGGCTTCAAGTTTGCTTTGCCTGTTCAAAAGAGTAAACCGAGGTAGGAGGAAAGAGAAGCGGTTCTGGTATCACTCAGTAGAATTATACATACGTCGGTCTCTTTAACGAGTGAAGTTAGGTCATCTACGCTGGTATGGATCATAAATTTCCCCAAATAGTTCACAAACCATGTAGGAGAATTTAGGTTTTGGTTAGTTGAGTCAAAGCATCTTGTTTTGGGAGCTAAATGAATGAATGAAATACAAAGCATATCAGGATAGAGTTAAACATAAAAACCTTCCGTACAAGTAAAATGCTTTGGGTTAATCGTAACACCACTCTAGACACCGTACCATAAAAATAAAAGTCCTTCCCGTCCATTTTTAATATTTAACATCAACAATCCATTTGAAATAACTGAGTACCGAAGGATAAATGCAATGGAGAATGGAGGTCACCAAGAACGTTAAATTTGTCGTTCAAATCTTAAAGCAATTCACAGATAATGGACAAAAACACAATTTTTTCTTTTTTACCTTTTTGAAGATAATCTTTGATGCTATTATACAGCTCTTCTGCTGGTTACCATTAAATTCAGAGAAATGGGCATTCAAGCTTTGTATTCTAAATAAAAAAAGGGCAACATTTCATCTTTCAGTGATTATATTTAAATTTTACTTTCATTTATGTATCACTAAAATGAAGCCTCAATCTGTTACACCTCTGAACATCTTAGAAGGTTTTGAACAAAAGTTAAAAGAAAGATAGCTTTAACTTTACAAAGCTGAAAATTATTTCTCATTAAAAAAAATGTTCAAACAGGTTTCTAACTAATTAATCATTTTGTAAAGATGCAAAAGAAAGTTTGCACTTTTTCACCCATTGTGATAAAATCAAAAATAACCTCTGCATTTGATGTAGCGCCTCATCACATCATTGAGACGTCTCAAAGCTCTTCATAGAATACATTGTGAAGTGGATTGACTGTGTACTTTGTGGGTGAAACGCGGCAGCCAATTGCAATAATAATAATATAACAATATATAGCACAGCTTCATCATAATGCGATGGTTGGGATCCATAAAATCATAACTCTAGTGCTATAGTGAGGTGCAAAGGACGGTTTCGCTGCACGTGTGTTCAGCCAGCCTGCGCCCTGCATTTTGGCCAGTTCCCACGTTAAAAATCGCTAACTTCCAGGCACCACTGACATCACTTGCTCTTTGCTGCGCGTACCCAAAGAAGATTGTGATGTCGGGTGGCGATCTAATGACCCACCACTCGGTCGTTTTAGGGTGGAAGCTGGCCAGCCATTGGGAAGCGAGTGGGCTGGTCTGCATGTACGCAAATGAACGGAATCCACATTGCAACTGCATTATAAATGAACTTAAGCTATAAAGACACACAACTCTCACAGGGCTGTCAGAATAAACAATTGTCGAGACTCACATGATCAGAGATCTACTGCAACTTGCATTGGCCAGGATTTGTTCAGTCAAGGATCCGTTTAGTTCTGATATCAGCATTTCAAGCCTTATACCAAACCAATTCTGAAGTTCGGTGTCATTGGAGCGAGATATAATTGGTAGACTGCGATCCAGCACTTCAGTCAGCAAAGTGGCTTTCATATTTGGGGCCAAAAATGCATTGTTCTGGTAAAGTTAAAAAATGAGTAAAAATAAATTAATTAAGTTTGATCAAATTAAAATGTCTGACAGTAGGTTAATATCCCCATTTATCCTTTTTTGACCCAAGCTTTTCTGTTACAGTATAAACTTACTAGGTCCCAAATTCATCAGATCACGAGAAGTTTCGATGAAGAACAGCTGTATCTCATCCTTCTAGAATACCCACCGTATATTACCCATCCATCCCATAATAGCATAATGTTTCTTGAATGACTCCAGCATTCTGGCCAGGTGCAGCTTGACCAGAGCACGGTAAACATTGAAGATGACTTCAAGGAATCTATTTGGCAATATTGCCCTAAATCCTGTTTTAGATGCTCCTCATCTAAAAGGCCTTCTCACATCTGTTCTTTAATTCCATTTCACTATCTTTCCACCTCATTCTTCAAAATCCTTACCTACTAAGTATCAATCTAGAGAATTGTTATTGGGTACATGGGGATTTAGCAAATCATACATACTTTAAAAGTGAAGAACAGATCTTAATTGAGTTTTAAACAGCAGTATTTTAATATCACACTTCAGGCACTTGGTTTATCTGATGCAGTCTCCAGTGACGCAGAGCTCACAGAATACATTATTTGTTATGGTGAACTACGTTTAACAATTGTGAACTTGCATTGAGTAGAGAAAAGTTACTTTCTCACTGGAATTCAAGAAACGTGGCTTTGAAACGATGCAAATTCTTGACTGAGCAAACATTCAAATTTTCTACCTGCTTTGCACCAAAGCTGAAAATGTCCATAAACTGTGTGATGGTTTCAGGCGTAACTCTGCTCATAACCTTGCGAACATCATCTGGAGTCTTCAACGTTCCATTACTGGCGGTCAAGTCTGCCAATTGCCTTAAAGTCAGCAAATCCACAACATCAACCTTTAACATATAAAAAGATATTGTAATTAGGTTTCTCAATATTCCAACTAAAATTTATTTTCATGAAAAATGCTTCATTCCTTTTACTTAATTTTAGCATTTTCCAAAAAGACTGTGTTCCAAACCAGTGAAATCCTGCAAAATACATCCAACCGCTTTGTGAATGGAGTAAATTGATGTTTTTTTGCTGAACCAATGGCGTGATTGTGTTGGGTTAAGAATTGTTGTTACCTCGTTTAAGATGTTAAAATGAGCATAAAACTAAAGATGCTGATAATTCTTGCATTTGATATAATGCCCATGAGGTTCAAAGCACTTCCTAATCTTATTGCAAAGGGTAATGATATAAGCATTTGCTGGCAAATGTAGCAACCAATTTGCACACAGACAGCCATGAAGTGAATGGTCAGTTTTATTCGGTGGATTGTTGCCCAGGATACGAGGAAAAACTCCCTTTTTTTAAAAAAAAAAGTCAGGCAGTGTTTACCTGAACAGGCAGACGTAACCTTAGTTTACCATCTCATTGTGAGGACGAGAAGTAGCAACTGATCTAAAACTATTTGACCTTATGCTTCCAGAATACCCTTCCCATCACAGCATCAAACTGCTTGTTAAGCAGCTCTGTTACGAATTACTTTCTGGGAAAATAAATACATCATGGTGTCTGTTTTGACATTGCCCTTTACCACCCTACGTTGTGACCTCTTGTGCTTTCTCATTTTAATATCCTCATCGAACCTGAATAACTTACTCCGGTAAAGTTGTTCTTTAGATGTATGAAGTCGCTGTATTTAGCTAATGACTGGAACGTGGCAAAGTTCTTCAGTAGCCAATCACGATCATCAGTAGTGTTTGCCACACACGCAGAACCTGCAAGTGGAGGATTAATAGAATCATTATTAGGACTTCAGCTGCGTAAGTATTTGCACTTTTATTATTTTTACTATGAATAATACTACTTGCATTTTATATAGCTGTTTATCACACTGTCAAAACATCTCAAAGGATTTTATTTAAAAGTGTAGTGACTGTATTATAGGTGAACTGCCGAACAATAATTCAGACCTCCAATAGAATACCGTTGTTAAAAGTTAATAGAAGGGTGTTAAAAAGTCAGTCGAGTTTCCCCACAGTACACCAATCCTAACAGTTACAACCGATGGCATTGCTGTCCCAAAATCACAAAACACTGTAAAACAAGATTAATGCATTACTGCTTTTGTGCTTCAACTCGTTCGTTACCTGATGTATTTAGTTGGCTTGATAAATATTTTGAAACAAAGGCGTAGACATGACCAATTTGTGGCACTGATAACTTTGAGGAAACGTTGTCCAAACCTTTAATCCTGCAAAGATTTCAAACAAAATAATTTGCAATATAACCAGAAAATACAAAGGCTTAAGAGTGTTATTTCCTTTGTACATTTGCCTACTTCTATGCACAACATTTTACAGTGAAACAAAGAAAAATATTGTTTTTTTGTGATAGAAACTATAGTTTGAAACTGGCAAATTGGAAACAGAGTGTGACTACGCTTTCTTACAAACAGGGTTTACCAAGACAATGTTCTCCATTGCAGGTGGTAAATCATGCTTTGGATCCATAAGTGTCAGCAGTGCTCAGCTGCAAATAATGATTTTTTTTGTTACGTCTTTATAACAGGAATTGCCGTTGAAAAGAACGTCTCTCGGCATATTCTGTGGGCATCAATGTATGAGAGTGAGATTGCTATATTTTTAAGGCAAACTAATTTTACTAGACTTTCACAGCGAACTAACTTTGGTTTACGAGATTAAAGACACATCACAAAATCTCAATCGTGTTTGCTGGCAGCAAACAGTGTCTTGAGTTACTGTGGACCTACCTGGCCAGATATACCTATTCAGAACTTGTTAAACCACTTACCTTTGACCCTAAAATGAATATTTTCCACCCAGAGAGTGAAGGGCTGAGTGCACCTACCGTGATTCAAGCCCCAAACCCTAATCCGGAACACTGGTTTCCAAGTCTAAACCGCAAACACCTCAGCTTCCTGGGATGTCCCAATAAATCCTGTCCACACACTGTATACTTACACGGCTCGGTAGGACTGGCATGTTATGTTAGTGGGTATTGCGGCAAGCTCGTTGGATGTTACACTGGGTAGCAACAGCTGTAATTTCTCTTGGAACCAGTCGGCATATTCTGTGGTTTTAAACGTTGTAAACTGAGGTTCCAGTTTCTGTACGACGCTGCTCAGCATTGTGTCCCTTACACCTGTGTTTGGAATGTCAGTAATTCCCGCCTGAAATAAAATGAAAATGAAACAATAAAAGATTTAATATTTCAATTTGTGAAAAGGATTGGGCATTTAAAATGACAAGTCATCTTTGTTAATTGTAATGGAAAAACATCTGAAATTTCCATTCGACTCGTAGCCGTTTAGCAGCTAAGTGTTTAGGCTTGAGCCTAGGCAGGGTTTGATGCTCCCAATATTAAAGTATTAGCCAACTTACATTCTTTGCGTCATTGACAAAATAGACCATGTAGGAATCCAGTTCACTGAAGCTTCTCTTTGTGAGTTCATTGAGGATTTTGTTGATGTTAACAATATTGTTTAAACCAACTGAGTTCACAGTCAGCTCGGAGAAATGTCGGGGGTTGAGTAGGTCCAGGACTTCAAACTAAAGAAATTCAAAAGTTGTTCAAGTCGAGCAGGTTGTTTGGTCATGTTGAAAGAACTAATAACACGGAGGGCAATTTCCCCCAATCATGAAAATATATTAGTCAATCTCTCAAAAATACAAAACTTACTGCACTGAAATTAGAATTCAGCTGAGTGAGATCCTTTAGCTGAACAAGATTATAGAATGTTCCCCAATTCTTCACCAGCCAGTCTCTGGATCCATTGGTATTGTTGATACAACCAGCACCTGGAGCCCAACGGTAAAGAAACTCAATCACACACCTTGCCCAGTTACCCAATGGATTGTCATGAATATTTTGCAAATATGCAATGACACTTAACCTCTTTACTAACCGGCGATTGTTCACAGCTTCTTACAATACATTTATTATTATAAGTTGGGTTTGACCAGACAAGCCAAGTGTTTAATATGAAGAGCAGATTGAGCATTATATTTCCATGTATGTGTTCCAAGGCCATCGAATATTGGAGTGTGAGGACATCTTCTTATTACTCCCATTGTGGCACAGTTAGGGGGAGGCACTGATTAGAGGTCATACAACTTCAACAGTTCACAAGTCTATTTAGGAGCTTGTGAGAGCTGCACTGGGAGGTGACCTCACGATCTGCTCTTCCTCTCATCAAACCAATACTGCTGTGGTTCTAGCAAGTCTAAGCAGTGATTATTCACCCAGTCAATATATTTTCCCCCTGACAAGATCATACCACCGGTGTAAGTACATTTACAAATAAAAGGAAAATTGCCATTCTAATTAAGTTGAGGGGGAAAAAAAATCCTTTTACAATTTTTTGGATGAAAATCTCTTGTCGCATTTTTCGATTTGCCTTTCTAGTTTACCTGTGCTGTTGAGGTAACCAAGAATCCATATTCGCAGTACACTCTGTCTTGTTGTCAGTGGCATTTCTCTGAATCCATTGCTGAGTCCTTTTACACTGACATAAGGAGACATTGAAAGCATTAGTCACACCAACAGCATTTCTTAATTGTATTTTTATTATATGTTATCCTTCTCTAAAGATCATGAATGGACTGTATTTGTACTTGTCCCTAAATTAAACACAAAACTGCTGGAACTAGTCAAAGTCATTAGAAAGTTTGAAAAGTGCAGCCTTTTGAACGTGATCTTATGTGGAAATCTAATGTTATTTATTCACCATAAATAAACTGTACAGTATTTAATCAGTTTGCTCAGACAACAGGTGGCTTATTTTAGGTCCTATTATTTACAATTAGACCAACAAGCTTCCAATTGATATTCGATAAAGACAATAATAAGTGGAGTTACATTTCACTCTGAAATGTGAAAGGTGTAACCAATGGCCCAGATGCACTTCAATGACTTTACTGATGTCCTCCCGATGTGAAAGGCGCTATACAAATGCAATCTTGTTGTTGTTGTTGTTGATGTCGCACACATTTTAGTTTAAAATATGGGACCTTTTTAAAATCTCTATTTTCATCTCATCTGCTGCAATATACGATTGTAAAAATTGTCAACTCACACGGCTTGGTAACCACCACAGGTTGTATTCCTTATCAAAAGGCAGTCCAAGAAAGTCGAGGGAATGCCAGCAATAAACGGCCCGAATCTCTCCTGAAACCATTTTGTCAGGAATGTTGCATTGGCTAAGTTTTCATTTGTCTTCACCTTCTCCAAAAAGGCCTTCATGAATACGGTCTTTGTTATCAGAGGGATTGTTGACGAGTTCAAGGTCTGCAACACACAACGGGCCATGGAGTTTTTAAACTTTGTGAGCAAAGACCTTGTTTTACAGTTTTCAAAAGGTTTTCACTAGTGTTTGCAATTGACACCTGATAAACTCTAGCAGCCTGCAGGCCAGAATGATTTCCTTTGCATTTTACTGTCAGCACAGGTAACGTAAGGACAGTCTGCTGTCTCTGGGAGACAGTATTAGTACATGTAGAGTACATAGAGTAGACAGTAGAGTACATGTACGGAATCACGCTGCCAAGTCTGTGCTTCCTAATTTTATTATACAAACAATAAAGCTGCCACTGAATGATAACAATGAATTCTATTTTACCCCCTTCACAAATTATTTGTCTATGTACAGTTTAATGAGCAATTAGGTACCTTATTATTGAACATGTCCAAAGCCTTGTTAAGTGAAATTCCATCGAGTTTCTGAATAAATACAGTCAATGCAGTTTCATCTGAGCTCCTCAGAGCCTTTTTGCCAGTAAAACAATCAAATATATCAGTCACATAATCATCTGATAGGTTTGCCACAAGGTTAGTCTGTAAAGGAAAATATTTAGAAATACATATTGGGTTAAGGCAGTCTGCAACATCTCAGTTATCTAAGGATATCACACTATAAGAATTCTTGATTGATGATGAATGAATTCAGTAATAATGATCTGTTATTTTATGGTATCTCCCAAGCCAACAATTCTTATATTCCACACCCACCCCCCAGAAAAACACACACGCAATCCTTTCTGCCTCAGTACAGTGGCCCTTTAAAATTTGAAGTAAAAAGAGCAGTATAAAAGAGCAAAGTCAATGGCTTCAGATAGAGTTTGGAGCTTACCTCAGCACATGCGTAGTCAGTAACGGTAAAATTGCAGAATTGGCTCACGTTAACAGCTTTGAGGAAACTATTCACTTCCAAGCTACGGGGAAAATAAGTCACATATTTCAGGAAATAAATCGAAATGAGAATAAAAGAACATTTTAAGTAACAGTTTCCCTACAATTCAAAATGTATTTCTTTACACTTGTGCAGCAAAACATGGAGCTCCATCACCAATTCATATTTAAGAAACATCCCTTTTAATAATAGCTTTATAATTAATATTTTTGCCAGATTACAGGGAGCTTTCTGATGAAGTTGTTTCCCCCAATTACATAAAGGTATTTGAGTTTACTGTGTGTTTATTAGATGCTATATTTCATACTTAAAACCACGTGTCATTCACATGAATATATTTGATGCATCCAACAGTGAAACAGGCAGAGAAACACAAGGTGTCAGCTTTGTCACGATAGAAAGTAAAGAAAGTCACTAGTTACAAACAACATCAGCACGTTTATTCATATTCCTACCTGGTAACGTTTTCACAGAAGGCTGTCACTGTATTAAATATAATGAAAAAAATAAGTTGAGGATATCTATGCAACATTGAAATGAACTAGAAATAAGAGAATTCCACAAAAGAAGAATCTTACCATTAACTGTGGTGTTGCCACACTAACAAAAGGAAAGTAAATTAAAGTTTAGTATTTAATTTTGACAAATGTAACATAAATCTATAGATGGAACTCCTACAGATGAACAAAGTTATGAGATATTTCAATAAAACAATCGCTTTCCTTAGAGCTTCACAAACACAATGCAAAGTCAAGAGACTTTTGGGGGTAATTTGAATAATTATAGCAGTGCTTCAGGAACCTTTTTCCATATTCGAGTGGGAAAACTTTGGTTGATGCTACCATGCCTTGTGCCGTTGATCAATATGATGCACTTTCATGCCTATTATCTCCCTCCTTCCCTACACTTCTCCACAAGAAGGTTAATCAGAAGGTTGTCCGTACCCTCTCAGTTGACAAATTTGTTCCCAGAATTAAGAGAGCAAAAAAAATAAACATTTAATAAATAACACTAAAAATCTTCATGAAAAATTAAAAAGTGGTAAATCAGTCTTACCGGAAAATTTGGTGTGGGTTCTGAAATCAAAACAAATGAAATATTAGGAAAACAAGCGTTTGACAAATAGTATTCATTTTACTTTTGCTGTTCTATCTTTCAGAGGTTTACAATGATTTTGCTGTCAGCACAGCTACAGTAACTGTAACCTTGTTTTGAAGTGCAGATGGCAGTTGTTGATCTCAAAAGAGAAAGAAAACGCTTTTGAATGTAGTACAGATATTTCCCCTCAGCAAAATAGACCCAAAGCTGTAGTGCATTCCAAGTCATCCTCAGATGTTTAACAAAGGTTACACAATTTTTTTTGTGTGTGACCCTAAATGTTAAACCTAAGTATACACAGTGGTGTCTTTAGTTGGGCTAATTCTATGGAGTTTTTGGTGGTCTGGCACAATAAGGACGATTTAACTCAAATGAATCCAAGATAACACACTTAATAAAGACATTTATTCTGCTTTGATGATGCACACACCTGTTAAAGTATCTGGAATACCTCCGATTAATCCAACTTTCCTCACGTCAGATGCTAAGTTTGAATCCACCCACGTTCTCACTACTATTTCATTTCTTCCGGTCTGAAGGGCTGGCAAGAAAGCTCCAAGCAGGTTTATCAATTCCTGAGCACTCAGGATCTTAAAAGGAACAAACATTTGAAGGTTCAGCTCCCAATGCAAACTTTCCAGAGCCCCGGTTAAAATAATTCACTCGTAAAAAAAAAATAGTTTCACTCTAGATCGGGTTGGCTTACAAAGTGGATGCCTTTTTGGTCAGTTGTAGCATGTGGGTGGGTGGGTTTCCCACACTTTAAAAATGTCCGACTTTCAGATTGCCCGATCACTGCACCATCACTTGGTACATTCTGAGTGCGCTGATACGTGTAGGAAGGTCTTGCACATAGTGCACATGGACACTGTACACACAGGGACATTATCCATGACACGCAGACTCAGAGGTCAGCCATTTATTACGCTTACACTGACTGGATGTGATGGCACGCTTTGGGACGTCCTCCCGACATGAAAGGCGCTCTATAAATGTAATTTTGTTGTGTCAAGCCATTTCACAACACGATGTTTGGGTTTATGGACTGTATAAGATTGTGGCAACGTTACTGTAACAAACCTTGACTTCATCAGCATTTAGATTTATGAAGGTTTCAAAGTCCATGTTGACAGTGTGGTTTGCAAAAATCTTCAAATCTTCTATTGGGGCACCACCTAAAGTAAATAGTCAAACCACTCCATTAGCCATCTGCACACGCTAACTTTAAAAAATAATGAAAGGTATTAAAAATAAATTGAGTCACTGCTAACATAATCTTTTGACGTATATCACAATATTATTTGTATCTATATAGTCAATGCGTCACTTTATATGCAGTGTAAGTTATTCTCATACTTAGGGCTCTTTCTCTCCTAAATGGTAAAAATGCTCTGAACTATTCTGACTAAACCAATGCTGATCAAACATTAACACATTAACATATCTATCTTCTTTAGATCTTGATTCCATTTACATTTCCCAAAAATATTTTGAGTCATTTTAGTTGAACTCGTGACAAGTGGATGTCCTAGCCCATTGGGACGTTCTCCCGATGTGGAGGCGCTAAACACATGTAATTTAGTATGGTATTACTTTGCATCTAACTAACAACGGTGTTCTTAGCATTCACACTAACTTCTCAGCACACACATTTCTTAGCTTCATGAACAAATGAGTGTTAACGAAAAAGTTCAAGCTGCCTAACCACAAGAGTAATATTTACTTACCAATATATGACTTTATTTGATTGTAGAAGGCGATTGGGTTACTTCTAAAAGATTTCAGTGCAGATGCAGATTTGTTGTAAAGTAAGTTCTTCTTTGACTGAGTGCAAGTGGAAATATCCAGTGGTCCTGCATCCCTACAAGAGGAATGATTAAAAATGATTTGATTTTCATTAAAGCAGCTGTGTGACATGTGACATAATTAGTTTTTTTTTCCCCCCAACACAAAGATGCCAACACTTACACCAAGTCTGAAATTGTTGTCAGTCGGCTTTCATCCAGAGTACACACATATTCCCCACCAATAGCGTTTACAGCCACTCCATTCAGTTGTCCATTCAGATTCAGATATCTTGTAATGATGGCTTTTACCTGTAAACCAAATATAAGATTTGAAGGACAGTTCACTTGTCATGATTACACAGGAAGGTCCTAAATAAAAAGTTATTTTTCCTCGATAAATACTTAAATCCAATTCTCAGGACTAGAGATTTACCTCTGTGCAATACGTTCACTAAACCTGTTCTAATTTAAGTGCTTCGAGACACTTTGCTGTGTGAAGGGTGTTATATAAATGCAAATTGTTGATGTAATTTCTTCTCAACATATTCCTTGTGCACACAGATATATATATATATATATAAAAAGTATATATCGCCTATTTTTCCGTTTTCCTGATAAATCCTCTATCTATGTTAAAGTTTCTGCCAAAATTAGTTTATAACTGACTGCTTGAAGGGCCGCACGTGTAGTCATGGGGTTTGGGAAGTTTGAGCTTTGCTCAGTGTCTGGGTTTAGCAGCGTAACTGTAATCATGTATTTGTCTGTGTGGAACTATAGCCACAAACCAGCATTTCTGCCAGGGCTTCAATTCTCAACTTACCCCAATGTATGCAGTTCCCTAAGAGCTTTCTATTAAGAAACATATAACCATGTTTACAGTCCTAGGTCATTATCTGTTGGTATTGTTCAGCACATTTTGGAATATGCCGAAACCACTCAGGGTTTCTGGGGAGGGAGTTTATTACCATTGTGCTTTCTAACTGATTCATCAGCAGCCTTGAAAGGGTGTCGACTTGAGTTATGTTCCACATGTTAATTTCTGTCGTGTTGAACACAGTAGTTATGTTTCCCAGGAGTTTTATCTGCTCTTCTGTTAGCCCGTTGGGGTAGATCTGTTTTAGGAAAATCAAAATTGCATAAATCAATTTTTGCATAATACTTTATTTCTCAGGAAAACAATATTTAAATGCCTTGGTTGCAATTTAAATATTTGGTTACTGTTTGAATTTTATTACTTTTTGGAATGCCTGCTCGTTCCTAATTTGAACAAGGTACTAAAATGCATTTTATTTACTTCAATGTTATACAAGTGTACAGGACGCCCAGAGTAGCTCAACAGATAAAGTGCTTCTACATCTATTTAATCACTTGTACCCCAGCATATTTAATAGCTGAATTGTCTATTAGTCAAGTCGTACTCTGCTACTGATAATTAATAATATTTTGAGCTCTTTGAGATTTTTCAATGACTTGAAGACTTCCACATGCAAGGATTATTTTTTTCAGATGGAACTTTGCAACGCTGTCTGTATGTACAGAATAAAACAGAACAGATCAGTGAGATAATAAACATGTGTTGCTTCTCCATCACACAACCAACAGAAATTTTATGTTCAATAAAATTTGATTTTCCCAACCTTTCAAATTAATTTCAAGAATAATTTTAACGGTTAATTCCATCTCTGAACTACTCTTCCGATGTACAAATTAGTGACCATTAATAGTTGACCAATTGTTGCTATTGAATTAATCTAAAAATTGTAAACCTTTTTGAAATACAGTAGGTAGTTTGCCTGATGACACTATCAAGCTGCAGTTCTTACCTGTTCAAGTCGCTTTTTCAGAACGTGAAGCTGAGAGGATTCAAAGTCAAGAGTTCCCAGTAAAAGCACGGAATCCTTCAATACAGAATTAGGCAAACAGGCATCTAATTGAGCAGCTGTATATAGTACAGGAGTTAGCTCATTGATATCTTCTGCTGCTATCGTTTCCCCACTACAGGCTGCAAACAAATAATAATAATAATAAACATCCTTGATTTTGATCTATGGTGTAAAAATGTCTCAAAGTGAATATGTATTTCTAGGCAAGCACAGAATTTACATACAGTGGGGGTCTAACAAACAGAGGTCAGTGACAAACAGATTTTATGGCATTTCAGTTTGCTGCTTAAGCTTATTTGCTAAAACGTACAGAATTATGCATTATTATGCTCATTGTTGAGAAATATTGTATCAATACTGTAGTTCAAAGCTTTTTTAAAAAAAGTAATAATTGCAAGAAAAGACAATTCCCTGTTTAGGTTAGTCACACATCTTTTGTGATATGTTCATACTGCTGGTACCAAAGCTTTCTGAAGTGTTAGGGGATGATAAAGTGCTATACAAGTAAGTATTACTATAGTCAAGATCTCACTCATAAAATTGATATTCTTGGGCTGCTTGTGAATTGAAGCTCCATTTGACTAACAAAAGAACTACTTCTTTACAATCATCATGAAATATACTCTACTGTATACATAACGCTGTTTATTTAATCAACTTGCAATTTTATGATGATTACATACCTGCTGCACGTTTCGATCTTTTACGTAGCTTGAGTTGACTCATAAAAATCAGTTGTTCACTTGGTCTTTGGAATCTTTTCACTCTCTTGATAAAGCTTGGAAGAGCTTGTCGAAAGACAGCCTGAATAACAATAACAATAATAAAAATAATCCTTGCATTTGATATAGCGCCTTATCATGTATTTGAGATGTCTCAAAGCGCTTCACAGAACATACTACAAAGTGAATTGACTGAATATTTTGTGGGCGAAACGGGTCAGCCAATTGCGCACAGCAGCGTCCCCACAAACGGCTGTGGATTGAGTGACCAATTTATTATTATTCTTTTGAAGGAATTATTACCACCGTAAAAGCCATCTGCCATCAACTAACAACCAAGTTCCTACTTACTGCTAGGTAAACAGAGGCGTGTGGAGTAAGGAAACTTTTACATTACATTTCGCCCTGCCGGGAATCAAACCCAGGTCACTCGCTTGCGAGCTACAGGACCACACAATAGTAGAAAATGTAAACGCTTGAAAATTTTACTAAAAAAAAATTCATTACATTAAATTTTTGATCAGTGGATAATGATAGCCAAATATTTTTTTCTACTTTTGAAAATATTTCTCTGCAGGTTTAGCCAAAGGGCCACTTCAAGTGCTTTGGGACGCTACCCTGTGTGAAGGGCACTATATAAATGCGAATTGTTGTTGTTTCAAATATCAGGAACTGTGTTAATGCTTTGTCTGAAGAGCCTATTGTAGTTTAAACAAAATGAGAACAGTTGATTAGTAATTTCACATTGAAATCAATTTTAAATTCCTTAAAACATACCGTGTTTACTAGATTCCATGTAGAGGCCAAAGCCAGAGGTAGGTTTCCAAGATCATTCACAGTGGATGATGTCCACGAGGAAGGTGGACTGCGGTCAAATAAAGAAATCATAAATTATTGGATTAATAACTTTATTGGAGACATTTTGGCCCTTCCCAATAAGATCACCTGGTTACAGCAATATATGTATATATAATATAAATAATTGGAAAACATCTTTGTAGGCAAGAGGATGGGAAAACATAAGCATAAAAACATGTTTATTGCTCAAATGATTCCTTTACATTTTGTTGGAAGACAGGTTGCACAGGTAGTACCCCTTTCCACAATATCATGTAAAACACAAATATTCAACTGCTCTGATAATATTTGTAGGAAACCAGAAGATGAACAGCTCCATACTTACCCATATTTGGTTGCTCTGTTGTTTAATAGCTCTTCGATTGCTTCCTTTTGACTATCTGTGTATGAAAGGCATGTTTTCAATGATTCTAAAATGGAAATATCAGATCCATTGATTGTTGATCCATCGAGGTCACAGGCCAAAGCACCCAATGTCCTAACATTGTCCTCTGTTAGATTTGTGCCAGTTATTTCCTGAAGTTGAAACAAAAATTTTTGAGTCATAAATTCAATTGTAAAATGATCTTCACAGGTTTGCATAGTCTCCCTTTCGTTCAACTTAACTACTTGAGAACTGTAACAGAATCTTTGCATCAAAATTGCTGAACTTACCAAGCAAATTTTGGCATTATTCAACAGACTGATTCTTATTTCTGATTCTTTCTGCAAGATATTAATGTCTGACAGTCCAACAGCTTTGAAGAGGTTCTTGCAATTCGGAAATGTGCTCATGTCTGTAGAACTAAAACATGAAAAGATTAAAGTTTTATGACCTGATTTTTTTTAAAAAGTGGTGATTTATGAATTATTCGGAGCAATATTCGAGGCCACTCTCAACTGGGTGGCCAGTTCTCCACTTACCACCCAGTTGAGAGTAGCAAAGTCAAAACTATGAACCTTCCAGTCTACGTGGCTCAGTGCACTCTACAAATGTAATTTTGTTGTTGTTGTTGCACATATTCAATGGATGTGTGCACTGCGATATGTGTTATCCCTTAAATGCTGTATACCAAAATCAACTGTTGTCATTTTCATACAGGCAAAGCAAGGTGTTTTTGTCCAGCTTATATAATCTAGTTGTAACCTTGAAGAAGCCGCAGAGGTTAAATAAAGCAAACAACTCTACAATACTTTGGACACCACTACTGTCAAAGATTTAGATGTAAAAATTAATTTGGAAGATGCTCAACGTACTTGAAAAAAAGCACAACATCCTTGGGGAGGTTGTCTATGGCTGATGGAGTTCCATTGGAAGAGAGTTTATAAGCTATACAGCTCAGCTGAAAAGGAAAGCAACACATGAATTTGAAATATCCATTAATATTAACTGAGAAGCTTATCAATATGATGCATTGGAAACTTTCCCAATATTTATCCATCTAAGATTGCCTTACTGGCCACTGCTTTAGCTTGCAGGATTGAGGACAGCTCCAATGATGAGCCAAAAGAAACAGTTTGGTCATCCACCATCAATGATTTGGATTATGGTAAAGCTCCTCAGAACCAGATCAACTATTAATAGCAAGTGATTGGAAATGTGTAATGGGGAGGACAACACAACTGTCCCAATATACAGACGTAGCAAAAAGATCACAACTTTTAATTATCTGAGTACAATAGGACCTCAATATACTCTGCTCCTCATTATCTCATCTCAACATTTTATTTTCACATTAAGATCAAAAATCAACATTGGCAGAAAATAGATCAAAAACTCACCTGACTTGCATCAAGTATGGTTTGTTTGTCGTTCATTACATGAACGAGTTGAATGAAATCACTTGAATTCAATGTCTTTACCGCACCGCAGCTGAATCCTTGGAGCACAGAGGTTGAATAGCTAAAGCAAATAATATATTGTTAATTCATTGCAGGTGAGGAAAAGGAGAACCTGGAGGAACATGTGGAAGCAGAAAAAAGCCACTTACATGTCATAACTGTTGTCCTGCGTTATTATACTTTCAAAAAACACAGTTGACTATGGGGAGAACAAGAAAATATTAATATGTAGGGCTGACGTTTACAGTAATACATTGTTCAATTTAATATGAAGAGGTGTATTGAAGTGTGAATGTGAAAAAAAAATGTGAAAAAGTGTGGTACAAAAATCTAGTCCCGGTTTTGTCAAACATCTAATGATGATTTGTAGTGGATTCTATCAGTCAGGTGTGTAGTTCATTGCATAAACGAGCTGAATGAAATCACTTGAATTCCATGTCTTTACCGCACCGTGCAGGAAATATTCCAACAGTGTTGACTGGAATTATGTGATGATGTACTATACAACTCCAAATCCAACAATGGTATTCCTTTTGCTATTCCAGAAATAGTCACTCGGCCTCTGATGTTGCTTCCCAGAGAATGGGGGAAAACACGCGAGTCTCTGCTCAACAAGTTTCCATAGCAGCATAACTGAAATTATTAACTGTTGTTCAGGGAACGGCAGGAGTCAAACTCAAGATACAAGTCTGTAGCAGAATGGGGAAATTCATCCGGACAATTTTGAAAATCATAACATTATTGGTTTATATGGGCCCATTAAATGTGGACTCTAACTTTATGACCCTAACTCACCAGATTATCACCACATTATGTCACCACATTACGACGAGGTCTAATTGTACTTGTTATCATTTTATTACAAATTAAAGCACAGAATCACCAACCTGACTGGGAAGCCATTCTTTATCATTCACGTCTTCAAGAACCAAGTCTGAACTTAAGAGCACGAGTGGGATGTCTTTGACTAGATCAGCTGGAACTTTCTTCACAGCTTTTACAGGGTTAACTTCCGTCACCAAGATCTGATTTTGAATTAAACACAACATTTAGCAAGAAACATTCTGGGTTATGACAAACAACATTCACAGCTACTGTCACTAATCAAGTCTAGGCAGCAAAATTTTTTTTACTGATAGTACTGCATATTCAGTGATCACTTACCTTCTGGACGACTGTATATTGTACAACTTGTGGAGCAGCTTTTATATTTTCAATGAATGTAGAATCGGAGATGACATTCAGAATCACTGTAGAGTTAATATTTTGAATTACGCTGCTGGGGACACCTGTCAGCAGGGTTCCGAGACTTTGAAGATCTTGTTCGTTATTGACCTAGATTTTAAAAAAAAAGTAATTAAAAGCAGTCCCTCGTTTTGAATATTATTGTTAGAAACAAAAAGTTAAATCTATAATGCACGGTTTCTACCGCCAGAAAGAAAGTTATATTGATTCCAGGACTAGGGTCACGAGGGAGGGGGCAGCAGATTGATGTTTGGAGCTGCTAATCCGGGCTCATCACAGTTTCACTTTTGCACAACTAACTTTGTGTTTTAGAATTTAATGTTATGAAAGAACCAGGTGTACAATGTAAAATCCACCTTTAGATCACCCTATTCAACTTGGATTATACTGCCATTTCCATCGCAAATCACCACAAGGAGTAATATAAACAGCCTAAAACTTTCTGCTGTAATTAGCAATTACATTTTTTTTAGTGTAGTCTCCTTCATTCACTCTGCCTTTCATCACTTCACATCAGATCTGACTACTTTAGACCAACAGGCCCAGAAAATGTGGAGAACTGTAGTATATGCTCAGCAGCTGTATCACAAACACAATAGGAAAAGAATGATCCGGGTGCTGGGTAATTTTAAGTACACTTTTGCAGCTTATTGTGTTAAGAAACATCTTTAAATCAAAGCATTATGAAAAGAGATTAATCTCCAGGGCCCAAATTCAAATAATTAGCTGCAAAAAGGATAAGTTGAGTCAGCATAACTTGGAATGAAGTTCTGCTCCTACCATTATTAATTTGCAATGCTGCAGTTTGCTGGATGTACCATCTTTACGCAGATATTCAAGTCTTGCACTATGGTTTGACCTGAACTAAGCTGAATGCAAATCCTGCAAAATCTAATGCCAATTACATGCAACATATTCTTTATTAAAGTCATTCACTTATACATTAATATAAAGTTTGGGTTTACGGTTTATGCCGATCTTACCTCAAAACCGTTGTTTATTAAAGTGTTTACGATCAAAGTGGTCTGTGCAATGTTCCAGCTTGTGGCTTGACTCAGGCTTGGCAAGGCTTGCAGAAGCTCTTTCTCTTCAGTAACCTCAATCTGTGTCAATGATATTCCGACAACTGATTGGCCCAAAGTATTCAGAACATCCGCTGTAAAGTTGTCAATTTTACCCACTAAAGCTGTGGAGAGCTGTAAGAAACAAGCGAGGTATTGAGATCAACAACTTCACTGAATATCTATTTCAAATGAGGTATGAATAACTAGCAGATGAACAAAGTGTTATGCTACGGCACTTCCTAGCAGACAAAATGAAGAATGTCTGTTTAATTTGGGCCTTAGTACTCAGAACATTGACGTCTATATGGGGAAAAAAAGCTGACATTTTAATTCGTTGATATTGAATAAAACCAGTTTAAAGCCAGGCACAACAGGTAAATCATCTCATTTAGATGCATGTAATATACATATGAAGTTGTATGGAATATACCATGTCAAATGTACATTCCATGCATCTAAATGAAATGATCTAAGATAGAACCATTCACCATCAAGAGTCCTCTCTCACTTACCATCAGTTGTTCATCTGTCAAAGGTTTTTGAAGCAAGGTTTCATTGCTGGTGGTGTTGGATGTCAGACTAAATAAACAGACTTGGTTTATTTTCTCAATTACGATCAAGGCATTCTCTGCATCTAAGGACTGAATTATTTGAGTTCCAGCGACGAAGCAAATCAGAGAATTTGGAATACTGCAATATAAAAGCCAACAATTTTATTAGTGTATGTCTCCATGGTACAGTGCACTCATTTAGAATAAAATTGAATTTTTTTAATTCTATGATTCGAACTCCCTCCATATATCAACATTTAATAGGAGCATGTATTGTAATAAATGTAACACAAGACGTTTAGGAACCCTTGCTCCATCCTTGTACTTAGTCCTAAAACTAAAGGATTTACAGAAAAGAATGCACCTTACTGACACAAACAGATAACCAAATTTACCTTTTAATAAGATTCAACTTGTGCAGCAATCAAAATATCAACCTATCCATATACAAATGGTAAAACGCAATCAAACCCTGTACTATAATGAAGTAATACGGCGAACAGACTATTTTGTTAGAGAAGGGCTGAAGATCAGTTAGTGCTACTTGGTTCACAGATGTACAGATATGAAATGTATATTCCTCATTACTGCAGACAATGGAACTGACATCCACAGAAAGGTTTTTACCTTTTGCAAACTCTGCATACAGAGATGTACTAGTTCACCAACGTACAACAACAAAAAAAATCTAGGATTTGGACTCTCACTTAGGTTTCTCATTAGCATCAGAATAGATAACCAGCTTCCTAAAAATAACTGAATTATGGGAAAGAAAATTGACCAATGCACAAGACATACCTCAAGATACTGACACTTGAATTATTTTGAATCACCAAATTGAGATAAAATCTCGCAACTTCATCTGATAATGTCAGGTTTTCAATAAGCGCCAGGTTGTCTGGATCTGCTGCAAATTCCTGAAGCTGAGGAAAAAGAAATTTGAAAGAAGTTAGAAATACGGAAGGACTCAATTGATGGCTTTTTTTTAAAAAAAACTCACACAGTCATACAATGGCTGATTCGTGTATCTTGACCACTAGGAATAGTGCTTCATAGAATGCAATTAAACCCTGTACTATAATGAAGTAAAATAGCAAACGTACCACTATTTCACTGTCAGAGAAGGACTGAAGATCAGTTACTGATACTTGGTTGATAAATAGTCCCAGATAGTTAACAAACCAAGCAAGGGAGTTCAGAGTTGGATCAGTTTCATTGTAACATTGTGGTTTGGGACCTGCTAGAGAGAGTAAAGAAAATACTTTGATCAGCAGATTCAGGTATGAATGGAAAATAAAACATTAGGGTGAATACAATAGTACTTCATACTTTTAAAGCATATCATCAAAGTCCATTTTTCTCTCCCTCATCTCCAAATCACGAGACCCCTTGGATCTGCATCAGGTTACTCTGCAGGAGTGAGGAAATGCCAGACCCTAATCTTGTAGGAGGATGGCCCAATAGGTGGTGAACAGTAAGATAATGCACTCTGCTGGTTTGAGAGACTGACCAACAGTCAGTCAAACATGGTAAATCTACTGACAAAATAGTCATGTACCCTAAACAAATATTAGTATGGCTAAAACGTGTCTTCTTCTGGTACCATAACTAGATTAGCAACATGGAGATTCTTCCAATATAAGATCAGATGTATTGGAGCCTTGTTCTAGTGGCACCCATAGTATTTCTCACTCTTTAATAGGCCTTGATGGTACCTCTTTTACAGGGGAGTATAAAAGATAATCCAACGCAAACGTGTACGGTAGCTAGGGGAGAAAATATTGAGAACTCTATGTAAGGGAATGGATAATGATTTACTTAAAATGCAACATGTTCTAGTTGATAAACAAACTGATTTATGTTTTTCTGCATAAAAACAAGAAGAAACTATTCCCACTGGCGGGTGGGTCGGTAACCCGAGGACACAGATTTAAAATAGTTGTTAAAAGAAACAAAGGGGAGATGAGGAGAAATGTTTCCACACAGCGAGTTTTGGGATCTGGAATGCATTGCCTGAAAGGCTGGTGGAAACCAATTCGATAACAACTTTTAAGAGAAAAGTAGATAATTATTTGGGGAGGACAAGTTTGCAGGGCTATGGGGAGAGAGCGGGGGAGTGGGATTGATTTGGAAGCTCTTCTCAAAGAGCCGTCACAGACACGATGGGCCGAATGGCCTCCTTCTGTACTGTATAATTCTATGATTCTATAAGGAATCATGATAACTTTCTGAGTGGATCTGTAGAAACATAGGGGGGAAAAAAACAAAAAAAATCAACCCTGGTGAGTTTAATTTGAATGTTGTAAAACGATTCCATTTAACTCCCAATTATCATTGATATCTATATTTTAGGGTTACAAGTTGAAAGTCTCTACTCCAAACATGGAGACTAGGTAGAGTCAGTCTGGACAGAGGGCCAGTCCAATAGAGAATGCTGGATCCATTCAAATTATCTGAGGTGGGCAGATATTTGTTAGGTAAGAGCATCAAGGGAGTATCAGCCATGTTCTTATAGAACGGCAGAGCAAGCTCAAGGGGCTGAATGGCATACTCCTGTTCCTATAGACATATATACACACACACACATAGGAATATACATGTGATTCAGTAGAAATTAATGATCTGTAATTAATGTTGATCAGGGAACTGGCATCCAAGCCATCCACTGTGCTGTTTGGACCTTGTAGATAAAAACACACCCACAGTATTGGGTTGGCAACATTCAGTAAAATTCAACTTGTGGATATACTCCATAAAATGACAAAGACAGCTCTTATTAGATGTATGAAATACATTAAATTAAACTGTATTACCTTGTTGCAGATAAGTTTTGATTCCACTGTAGATTTCCTCCTGTTTGGCTGGTGTAAAATCATTGTAACGATCGCTCAGCATTCTCACACTAAACGGGAAATGCAATAAATTAACATTTGGTCTTTTCATTAAGGAAAATTATAGATAGTTGTTATTGAAAATGGATTGAAATGAATATTCGTATAAAATGAGCAGAAAACAGTAGCTGAGCCGAAATAATCCAAATTACAGCAGGTTTTTCCTGCAACTTTAGTTCCTCATTCTTATCCGCTTAGCGTAAATATAAAAGTCTATCCATAGATAATACAGTAATAAGTAATTATAATTATTATTCAGTTGAATATGCAAGAT